GTTGACAAAGATGGTATGTTCTTTGTTCTAGCTCTGCACAATTTTGATTTCTTCTACCACATTTCTGTATTTGAAAGTTTTTTTTGTTCAATGCAGTTTGGAGATTGAATATTCGGTATAAGTTCCCTCATCTATAAAATTGAGGGGGTTAGACATGACCCCCTCAATCTTACAACTAAATGGCCAGTTCTAATGCTATGATCTAAGGAACATAGAGAATGAGGAAGATGAAAAAGCAAAAAAAAAAAAAAATTAAATTAATGAACAAAAACACCAAAGTTCTTAGTGAGGACTTCAATGCTTATTCGCAGCTTATTAAAGTGAGAAGTATTTGGGCGAAAAAATAAGTATCTCTGCAAATTTAAAATCTTAACATTTTAGAGATCAAAGGACTTTAGAGATAATCTATTCCAGTTGTTCATTTCTAGGTGAGGATGTTTTGAATCAGAGAAGTGAGAAGTCTTGTCCAGGGTCATACAGTTAGTGACAGAGTCCAGATGAAAATCCGGTTAAGATTAACTCATGTTGGGTCCTTGCACAAATAGCTTTTTAAAAAGAGATGGATTGGGGCAGCTTGGTGGTGCAGTGGATAGAACACTGGCCCTCAAGTCAGGAGGACCTGAGCTTAAATCCGGCCTCAGACCAAACACTTGACACTAGCTATGTGACCCTGGGCAAATCACTTAACCCCAATTGCCCAAAACAAAAAGAAAAAAAGAGATGGATCATAAAAATCCAAATAAACCTCCCTCCCCAAAATTCCAAAACAAGGAATATTTATTGAGTGTGAATTTTTTTTTATGAGTGGTGCAGTGGATAAAGCACCAGGTTTGGGATGAGGAAGATCTGAGTTCAAATACAGCCTTAGACATTTACTAGCTATATGACCCTGAGCAAGTCACTTAACCCTGTTTGCCTCCATTTCTTCATCTGTAAAATGAGCTGGAGAAGGAAATGGCAAACCACTCTAATATCTTTGCCAAGAAAACCCCAAGGATGATTGTCCATGGGGGTCATGTAGAGTCAGACACAATGGAAGAAGAACAGCAATGTTTTGATAGCTACGATATTAATTTTAGACCAAATTTGTGATATATTAGAATTGTGCCTTTTATACCTTTAAAACATATTTTTATAATGGAATAGGAATTCAGAAGAGAGGGACAACCCAGTGAGAACAATAGTGGTCAGGAAACAAGACTTTAACCAGGACTTGGTTAGATGGGATTTGGATAGGTGGAGTCTGGGCATTCCAGAGAGCTGATAAATGTCCCCTGGGAAAAAGCCAAGAAGATTAGTTTGAGGTGATGGTGGATGAAAGGAATTGACTTGGTGCACAGTGGGCTGGGGGTGAGGGGCAGCTTTGAACAATCATAGACCAGGGTGAAGACAGTTGAGGAGAACTAGGCTTGTGTTGGTTTTCTCTAAGTGTTCTGGGTTTTGCTTAAAAGGTACCTCTGTTACACAGACCTCTGTTAGTTCTGACACACTTCAGCTCATTAATTTATTTGTTTTTAGAGCAGATCGTAAAGGGCTCATGTGACTTGGCACTCCATGAAGATATATATATATATATATACATATATATATATATTTCTTTAATCTGTGGGCAGTCCTCCTGCATTGTGCATCTGATTCAGACTTGGACAAATTGGCTGTGAATGGAGTGATAAGAATAGAGAACAGCACATACCAGCAGACCCAACTTCCTGTGCTCAGGCCTTTGAATACTGTGTTTCACAGGCCCAAATAGCATTCCTCTTAACACTGAGATCACTTATTCCCTGGTGACTTAAGCAATAGCATTGGCTTCAACAGAAACTATTTTAGGAAGGAGATGTAGGAGGAAACATGTATCCTGGGTTGTTCAGAAGTTCCTTATGCATTTATCAAGATTCTAGCACTCACTACTTTCTTTTAGATTACAAATTGGTGGTTTCCAAGTTGTCCAAACTTCCCAATGCTAATTTCTACATGTCATGAACCCTAAAATGCAAAGAAAAAGGCTGTTCTGGATATCTTTTTGTGATTGAGTCATTTCAGTTGTGTCTGACTCTGTGACCCCATTTGGGATTTTCTTGGCAAAGATACTGGAGCAATTTGCCTTTTCTTTCTCCAGCTCATTTTACAGATGAGGAAACTGAGGCAAACAGGGTTAAGTGACTTGCCCAGGGTCACACAGCTAGTAAGTGTCACACAGCTGTGAACTCATGAAAATGAGTCTTCCTGATTCCAAGCCCAGTGCTCTATCCACTGTGCCACCAAAAATAGGCATTTACATAGCACTTCATCGATCGCTTCCCTCACGTTGTGTGAGCCCCACAACAATGCTTCAAGACAGGTACTACAGTTATTATTATTCCCATTTTACAGTGAAGGAAACTGAGTCTCAAAGAAACTAAGTGACTTACTCCATATATAACTCATAAATGGTTATATATTGATTAAATATCAGAAGCATAATCTGAATCCAGGTCTTCCTGACTCCAAGTCCCCTTTGATCCAATTTGAATTAGAGAAAAGAAATTTTGTGGAGAAATTCTAGACTGTAAAACAGGTGCTTTTTTGGGGGGAGGGGCAGTGTTTTTAGGAGGACTATTTCCCTGCTGCAGTTCAATGTGCATCCCCTTACTTCCCCATCATACGCACTTATTCCTACCCGGGTTATCAATACATTATATGTATTCCCACATAGTTGTTGTCTTCTTTTTTTTCTGGACGGTGGGAACAACTTTGCCATGACAGTTTATTGTCATCCTGCTGCCCTCCCTCCCTCCCTCCTCCCCTATAAAGCTGAGGTGGGTCAGACTTGGCATCAGCCGGAGCTGGGACAGCAGCTGCGGAGACACATAAGTGGTGTTGCTGCATGTATTGAGTACAGAAGCTTAGGAACAAGGTTATCTGTCTTAAGGATACTTGTTATGGGAACAGACTGACTATGAAGAGAGAGTGGGGAGTATTGAAGAAATTCAGGGAGTGAAAGAGTGAAAGGGAGGTGGGCAGTCACAGTGATTTGTCTGAACATTCCTTTTGATCCATTCTTGTATTTTGTCTTTTAGAGGAGAGGCAGAAAGTCCAACACTCCTTAACTGATTTGCATGTGCTATTATTGCATTTAACTGATTTAACTGGGGCAAGGGTAAGGGTAGGAAATGTTTCACTTTTCTTTGCTATTTGCTGCCAACTTAACTATTAATATTGTGTTAGTCTTTGAATTAGTTGCCAATTGGTATTTGAAAACTAAGCAGACTATTGCTCACTTCATTTGTGGTTTGGATCCTGTATTATCATTGATAGGCAGACCTCCAAAGGGTTTTGTTTTGTTTTGTTTTGTTTTCCTATCATGCAGAAGAAATAGCGACCAATCCATACTGGGGACCCAGAAAAAAACAAAAAAAGTAGTAGTAGAAGTAATAGAAGTAGTAGTAGTAGTAGTAGTAGTAGCAGTAGTAGTAGTAGTGGTGGCAGTAGTAGTAGTAGTAGTAGTAGTAGTAGTAGTAGTAGTAGTAGAGTCTGGCCAAATGTTTGCTTATTTACATTGGAATTAATGCAGGGGGTGAAGCTATCAAGGTGAATTTTTTTCCTAAACTAATTCTTTCTTGGCTTATAATAAGTGTTTCTTAAGAAATATACCCTTCATTTGTCACAAATATGCACTGTTGTTTTCTTAAAATTAAATCATAATTTTGCCCAGGGTGCCCAGACAAAATGCATAAAATGCAAAAGAAAAGTAAGTGAAGGTGACCACTATATATGTCCACTGATTTCTTTAAAATAGATTACTCTATGTTGAACATGATTTTACGTGTATAATCTATATCAGATTTCTTGCTGTCCTGGGGAGGGAAGAGGGTAGGGAGAGAGAGAGAAAAATCTGTAACTCAAAATCTTATAAAAAATGAATGTTGAAAACTATCTTTATCTATCTTATTTACTATAAAACTATATTTATCTATCTTATTGATATCAAAAATAGAAAACTATATTTATCTATCTTATCAAAAACTATTGGAAAAAATAAAATACTATTAAGTGGAAGTAAAATAGGTTACTCAGTCAGCATTTCCAATAAATTGTTATCTGTTAGATTATTCTGTTTTCTCCATTTTGCAAGTTTAGACATGGTATGAATTGTCATCCAATGTTTAGAACACCAGAGTTGCTTTAATTTCTATTAGTTCACCATGTGGTGATAATGAAATAACCTTTACTTCAAAGCACAAAGTATCCTGGAAAGGTCTGAATTGTTTTGAAAAGAAGTGAACCCTACTTTAGAATTGACTTGTTTTCTGGATCCTCCTTTCACACAACACAATTATTTCTGCAGCAATTCAGAACATAATTTTAAGTCGAAGTGTTATGAAATTGCCTTCCTGAAAGAGCCAGATGTTTCTGGAACTAGTTGTGAGAGTAGAGAATGAGGGAAAAAGAAGAGAAGCTAAAAATAATTAAGATATACTGATTAGTCAAGAGAATATCCATTGAGTTACTTTGTATTTAGGCATTATAGTGCTATTAATACAAAAGAATATTGTCAGAACTGAAGTGTGAAAAGAAAAGTTGGCTATCTTCCTATTTACCTATCTACCTATTTTCTCTATCTATTTATCTACCTATCTATCATCTCTATCTTTTATCTATTCCTATCACCTATATACCTATCATCTATCTGATCTATCATCTATCTTATTTATCATTTATCTATCTTATCTCTATAACTACCCATCTATCTTCTAGATAAGATATTTTATCTCTTATCTATTGATCTATCTCTAGCTAGCACCTATCTATCTTAGTTATCATCTATCCATCTATTTTACCTACAGATCCATTTTTCTATCTGTTTAAGCTTTTTTACTCTTTGATTAGTAAATGTAGCCACTGGAGAGTAATCATGAAAGCACTGAGCATTTCTGATGTGGAATTAATCGAATTATCTAAAAATTGGTTTGTCCCTGAAAAACTCACTGATCTCCCCTTTCACTCTCTTTCTACACTAGGAGAGACAGCGCCTGGAAACGATCCTCAGCCTTTGTGCAGAATATACTAAGCCTGACAGTAGCTCGATTGCTATGACCACTGTTGCTGATGTGCAGAAGATTAACAAAGAGCTTGAGAAATTACAGCTTTCCGATGAGGAGTCTGTGTTTGAGGAGACCATGTTACCTCCGGAAACAAGATACAGGTGCCACCGGAAAGCCTCCATTACTGATTCAGAGTTGTCAGGGTTCAGTAGCCTCAGTCAGAATGCTACCAGCTTACCTTCCACAAGGAGTTTCAGAAATGACGAATCCTTCAGTGACCACTCCAAGACTCCCCCATTACCTTCTTCTCTCTTATTGAAGGCTTCCAGTGAGTCTGCCTATCTAAGTATCGTACCAAAGGTAATGCTATTAGAGGTAAAAAAAAAAAAAATTTTACTGCTTTAGTGCCTACATGCAGTAACTCAGAATCTTTTGGACCTCACAATTTTTGTTTTCAAATCAATTTTTAGTGAAATACAAGGATCCAACCAACTTCAGTAGGTATTCTGTTTGGCTTAACAATAGCATGCTAGGGATTTCTTAAGTGAAGTTGAAAGAAAGTCTGATGGGTATTTCTAATGTCATCTATGTTGAGCATTTTTCATACATAGCATTTCTTAACTGGATGCCCTTTTGCATTGCCAAAAAGTCACAACTCTGTAGAAATTACTTGCATCCAACCTAAGAAGGTGACTTAGGATGCAATTCAATTTAACAAGCGCCTACGAGGTGTCAGGCACTGTGCTGGGTGCTGGAGATACAAAGACAAAAACAAAACATTCCCTGCCTTACAAAAGAGCTTCCATTCTACTAGGGGAAACAACATGTACACAGATAAGTAATTTTAAAATGTGCAAAATAAATACAAAGCAACATAAGTGTGAGTGAGAGGAGAGCACCTAGAGCTTCTTGTAGGAAGTGACGCTTGAGCTAAGCTAAGCTCAGGATTCCAAGATAGGGGGGAGGGGGACTGGGAGGGAAGGGACGGAGAAGGGAGAATATCCCATACATGGACAAACTGTGTGTAAAGGCAGAAGAAGGAGATAGAATATTGTGTATAGAGAATAATAATGTTCACAGAGGGAACTAATATGTAATCAGTCTGGAAAGACAGATAGATTGGAGTCAGATTGGGGATGGTATTTAAATGACAAACAAAGGACTTTGTTTTGTGTCCTAGGAATGATGGGGAACCTGTGCACAGGAATAAAATAGACATGTGCTTTAGAAATATCAAAAGAATAGTTATATGGAGAATAAATTATAGAGGGGAGAGCCTGGAGGTAGGGTGAATAGTTAGGAGGATATTGCAGTAATCCAGAGGAGGGACAGTGAGGACCTGATTGAGGGTCTTTGTGAGTAGAGGAAAGAGGACAGATGTGGAAATAAAATTGACAAAGACTTGGCAACTGATTGGTTATAGAAAGCAAGAAAGAATGAAAATTGAAGCTAATTCCTAAGTTTCATCCTAGGCAATTGAAAAAAAAATAGTGCTACCCTCCCCAGAAATATGGCATTTAGGAGAAAGGGAAGGATTTAGGGGAAAAGATAATTAATTCTGCTTTGGACATGCTGAATTTGAGAATCCCATGTAACATGTGGGGGGAGATGTTGGGTAGACAGTTGGAGATATGGACTGGAGCTCAGGAGAAAGATGAGGGCAAGATATGTAGATTTGGGAGTCAGCTGCAAAAAGACAATAGGTGGGTTCGTTGGAGATGTTATCACCAAGATGAATAAGAAACAGAAGTTGCCTCTACTCTCATTGCCTGTCACATAGAATGTGATGCTTTCAGTCTTCGGGTTCCACTGAAATTCTTCATTTGAATTTCACCATATTATCTTTTCATAGTTCTTAATTGAAAATGTCCTAGATTTATACTTTAGAATCCAATTACACAACTCTTCTAAAGAGATTTTATATACCAAAAATCTTTGAAATAATTGTTGTTAGTGATCAATCAACAAACATTTGTTAAGTCCTGGTTATATGACAGTCACCTTCTTGAAAAAGTCCCTGTCCTTCAGAAGAGATAAAATGGACATATGTGTGTATGTACAAAATAGATACTAGATAACTTGGGAAAGGCACAAAGGGCAGGGGTGACAAGGGAAAGGAAATGCTTCCTAAAGAAGATGGCACCTCAGTTGAAATGGGAAGGAAACTGGGAGTCTCAACAGGTAGGGGTGAGCATAATAGACAACCAATACAAAGACATGGAGACTAGAGATGGAAGGTTATAACGGAAGAATAGTAAGAAGCCTAGTTTGATTGGACCACAATGTGCCTGAATGGTAGTAATGTATAATAAGGCTGGAAAAGTAGATTGGAGATAGGATGTAAATATTTATGTGACCCCCGGGAGATTATATTTTATCCTAGTGGCAATAGGAAGTAACTAAAGTTTATTGAGTAGAGGAGTGACATAGTTCTAAACTTTAGGAACGTTCTTCTGGGAGACTGAAATTGGAGTGAAGAGAAACTTGAGGCAGGGACAATTAAGAGGCTAGTGTAGTAGGCTGAGTGAGAGAAGCCCCAGTCAACACAGTCTCAAAACTTTCTCTAGCTCTTTTCAGGACTGAGTAACAGCAGAGATGAGGAATGGTAAGAATAACCCAAGTTTGGAATCTAGCAAGGCATGACTGGTGATAGAACACTGAGCCAAGGGACTGGAGAGTTGAGAATAATGTAAAGTTGAGTTGATTAATTAAAGAGTTCAGACTGTGAAAGGAGGAAAGTTAAGAAACTACATCAATGGAGAAGTTTAGAAGATGTAAGGGTGGGTAGATTTAGGAGAAGTAAAGCATAAAGAGAGATAGAATGATAGGTTATAATTAGATAAAGGAATTTCAGAGATTTTTAATCTGGAACACTGGTGTATGATCTAGGGTGTAACCTTGCCTGCATGCAGCTGAAGTGTAATGTAGGAGCAGACCATAGCAATTGAATAGACTGAGGAATCAAGACTTCAGGGTATTTCAGGGATATCAACATGTATGTTAAAATCCTCCACTACTGGGACAGGAGTTAAAGTGAAAAGGAAGAGTCAGAGACTGAATTCCTTAAGAAAGAAGAGTGATTGACCTCGGGACCAGTAGATAAGAGCCACCAGGAGTTGGACTGGGTACTTCAAATTTCAAAGGAGAGATTACCCGGTGTTGATAGCTGTAGGAGAGTCTGGAGTATTCTGACCCTCGCCCCTCACCCCACACTCCACCCCACTAGTGTGTCCGGGAATTTGAGAGAAGGTACAACTAAACCACGCTGGAAAAGATGGCCGGACATTCAGTGTCATCTGGCAAAATAGTCATTTCTGTACTTTCTCTGGGAAATATCTTTATAGATAGGTTCCTTCCTGGACAGAGTTCAGGTGAGAATACTGGCAATACCAGCTGAATAGGGTCTAGCAGATGTCCCTAATTAATGTAATTTGCTTAATTGGAATGTTATGGCTGTAGTTTACAGCAACATCTCTTTCCACTAAAGTGTCTCTAGAAAATAGAAATTTAAGTACAGGAGAGAACTCAGGAGAAAGCATGGTGTCACTGACTGAAACAGGTCACAAGTTGATCATTTCTGAAGACAGTGCTCCCCTTCGTTGCCTTTACCAAAAGAGATCTTGTCTATGTGTCAATTTGAGAGAGAAGTCACCTGAGGGTAGTCAACTTCTCTTGAGAAAAACAAAAACTGTAAACTGAACTGACTTGCTTAGCCTTGGGAGTAGTCTGTTCCTTGTTCAGCATTTTTAAAAATCCTTTAATACTTGCTTGATAAAATACATGGCTCGTTAAAAGTAGACCTTGTAGTTTATAGAAGGAAAAGAAAATATTTTTAGCTGCTTTGACTATATAGAGAATTTGAGTGGCATTCAAGTAAGCCAAAATTTTGAAGATACAAATGTCCTTGGAAATTTGATTATTTAATAATTGACCCTTTTTGACTCTGCCTTCATAAGCCAAGAGAGAAGTAGAAACTGAGATTCAACTTTTTCTTGAGAAAGTTTTCTGTCTTCCATGGAAAGACTCCATTTGTGGCTAAAAGAATTTTTAAAAAAAATTCTAAAAAGAGAAACTATGTGAAAAGAACTAAAATGAGTACTTTTCTATAGGGATCAAGTTACTCCCAAAACAGAATGTATTTTGAAATATAGAGATAACAGAGATCTATTTATTATCTGTATGATAATTAAATTATCTGTTTGAGTGTGTTAGTGGCATTCCATCCATCCAGGACATCCCCTTGAACTGACTGCCTATGGAAATATCATTCTAATTTCAGTCATATCCAAAGCTCCCTTTCTACTTTATTCCACTGGTAGAAAGAAATGCCTTCTTACCTTCAACTCTTCAAATAAAAGGAGTGACTATTAATGAGATAATGTATGTAAAGTAACTTATAGCTTTAAAACACTATATAAACCATAGAATCATAGGTTGAGAGTTTGACGGGATATTAGAGTCCATTTAGAACAATCTTCTCATTTTACATGTGAGGAAATTTAAACTTAAAGAGATTAAGTGACTTGTCCAAGGTAGCACGATAATTAAATAGCAAAAGTAGGATTTGAACTTGGGTCCAAGACTTCAACTATGGAGTTTTTTTCTATGTAGAAAAATTCTGTTTTAAAATGTTTTTATTGATTTCTTTTGTTTTTACATTATTTTCATTTCTCAACATGTCCCTCTGAAAGCCATCCTCTATAACAAAGAATAAAAAAGCAAGGGGAAAAAAAAGTTCAACAAAACCAACACATTGAAGAAGTCTGACTGAAAAGATTATATCTAATGTTCCATATCCTTAGTCTCTCACTTCTTTAAAGGAGGATTGAGGTGGGGTTGGAGGGGGCTGGCAGCATACAGAGTGGAGGCTGCCTTCTCGTATCTCTTCTTTGAGGCCAGCCTTGATCATTTTAATCTCACAACACTGTGTCAATTTTTTATAATTCTTTCCATTTACATTATTGTTGTCATGTATATTGTTTTTTCTGGTTAATGTAAATTGTTATTTAAAACCTTATATTTACTACAAGTTAAGTGATAAATAATCCCCTTTTGCAGGTTTTTTTTATTCTTTTACAATAACCATATGCCATTTTAAATGAGATAGTCCAATGAATATTGGACTTAAGAATTCACTTTGCTTTGAGAATTATTTTTAGGGGAAAAATATTCAATTTTGGAGAGTTTGTATCCTTTGATCCATTTGGCCCTTTTTATCCATTGTTAAATTTGACCCATTTTAATAATCAATTACTTGAAATTGTGTATATTATTTTCAGATTCCTATCATTTTGCCCCCACACTCCTCATCTCCCACCCCACCACTGACTCCTTAAGTTACTTACCTGCAAAATTAGTCATATTACAGTTTGTTTGCAGCCAGTGAAATGTTTTACTTCCATAAGTGAAAGATTCTATTTTTAATCCACATTGGAAGTTGAAATCTAAGATGTAATGTCAGCATTAACCAAACAGGATACTGGACTAAATGAGGCCTTCCTGCTAGGATTACTTGTCAGTGATTTAGGAATGCCATTCATTGTTAAGGAAATGAATGTCAGATAGCAATAAAAGAGGCAACTGGAGAGTAGGGCAGTGGGATTTTTTTTTTGTTCTGATAGTTTTATATTCAGTAAAAATAATAACAACTATCATTTATGTAGTACTTCAAGGTTTGCAAAGTGCCTCACAAGTATTATCTCATTTGATCCTCACAACAACCCTGGGAATAACGTGCCATTATTATCCCCATTTTACATATGAGGAAACTGAAACAGAAGCTATATGATTTTTGTTGTTATAATTTGAACAAAATATAATAAAGAGAATTAGAAAAGGTATGCCATCTTGATCAGACAAAATCAAGTAATTGTGTATTCAGCTTCTCTTTCAATGTGTATTATGTGGTATTTTGCATGCCAAACTTTAGTCATTTCACATTCTGAGAATTATTTAGTGTGACAAACTGACCCTTCTTGGTCTTTGGGCCTTTGAGGTAGAAGACTATATTCTGTATCAGAATTTAGAAAAAAAAAATAGAACTTATATTGTATTTTTTAAATTACATAGCACGGAGTTCTTATTAAAAAAGACTGATAGTCTAATAACCTGAGAATGGGTAGGAAGTACATGGAACAAATGTTAACCATTTTGCTAATGACACTGACTTTCCAAAGAAAGCTTTTGGGAGATTTTCTGAATTAAGAATTATCTAATGTTTGGGGTTTTGTTTGTTTGTTTGTTTGTTTGTTTGTTTTTCAGTGGTTTAAGTACCAAGAAATATATGTTTGTCCTCTTAGTCCTGTCACTTATTACAGAGCAATATCCTTCTACTATGTATAAGCATTGAACTTAAGTGTTGAAAGAAATACAAAGCTTAAATAAGATACAGGCCCTGATTTTATGGAACTTTAGTTTCAATAGACTGTCTGTGATTTAATGTATTAATATATTGCATGGTGTAGTACTTGAATTTTTGCACAAAAAGCATTTCCCTAGGAATAGTGAAAAAATAAGAGTAGAAAAAGAGAAAAATGTACACATATATGTAAATGTGTATATATACATATACATACATACATATATCCATATGTGTGTGTATAGGCATTCTTTGCATTAGGAAAACTTTACGTAAGTGTAATACGGGGCCAGAAGACGTGGACCAAAAGATTTTAGCTTACTTGAGCAGTTACTAGCCATGTAACCTTAGACAAGTTATCTTACCACACTGGGCCTCAATTTCCACATCTGGTAAAAAATTTTTGATATTACCTGGATTGAGAATTTTTCATATATATTAGTACCAACCCATCCATCCAGGACATGTCCTTGTACTATGCCTAATTCTAGCCATACTTCAGACATATCTGTGTCAAAAGATTAGGCCTTCTTAGGTCAATTCCCCTGTTATACCTGTAAAGAGGGAGAGTCAACTTGGTATAATGAATGTAGAATTGTCCTTAGAATCAGGCCTAGGTTCAAATGCCATATCTGACATGATACTGGCAATGGGACCTTGAGCAAATCACTCAAGCTTTAAAAGCCCTAGGCAGCTCTTTAAGACTCAAAGTTGCCAAGTTAGTAAGAGGAAGTTTCCCACCAGGACCCTGAATGAAACCACAGGTCCAATTAAAAAAAAAAAAAGCAGGGGATAGTAATACCTACTCTAGGTGCACAGGATTGTCAAGTGCTTTTTAATAAATTTTTTTTTAATAAATAAATTCTAATGGGTCATATAAATGTAAACTGTTATATGAATAGCTGGTCTGTGTCATGTTAGCAGCAGTAATGGTCTCCCCATGGAATTTCAGACAGGGAGTATTTCCCAAGCCAAACCCACAGTGTTCCTTTCTGGGAGGCCACTGGAGTCCACAGCTGTGCTAGGGATGTTCCTAGCAGCACTCTGTTCCCTTCTTACTGGGTGGCAAGCAGCTGGTGCAGCTGTAGAGGCAAGATTCTTCCCTGGGTCATGTATTCCTTTCTTTTCCATTTTCCCATAGAAACAATATTTTACAAACTTCTTAGGTTCCCAGGTTAGCTTACATACGCAAAAAAAAGTTCCTGTTTATTCCATAATATACCTAAAAAATAAAAGAAAGAAAAGAACAAGAAGGGGAAGAGGAACAAGAAAATTATTTTCCTAAAGTTCAGGTCCAAGCATGTCAACCCCTCTACTCAATAAACTCCAGTGGCTTCCTGTTGCCTATAGGATCAAATTCAAAATCCTATGTTTGGTTCACAACTTAGCCCTCTCCTACCTTTCCAGTCTTCTTACACCTCACTGCTGGACACATATTCTTTCAATCAGTGACACTGGCCTCCTGGCTGTTCCACAATAAAGATGCTCCATTTCTTGACTCTGAGCATTTTCTCCTATTGTCCCCCATTCCTGTAATGTTCTCCCTCCTCTGCTCTACCTACTGACCTCCCTGGCTTTTTAAAAATCCTATCTTCTATCTTGATCCCTCTTAATTCTAATGCCTTCCCTCTGTTTATTATTTCCTACTTATATATAGCTTGTTCTGTATATATTTGTTTGTCTGTTGTCTCCCCTATTGGATTATAAGCTCTTTGAGGGCAAGAACTGTCTTTTGCCTCTTCAACAAAAGCACGTAACACAGTGCCTGATACATAGTAAGAGCTTAATAAATGTTTATTGATTGATACTAGATAGGGATATTGTTATTTTCATCAGTATTCTCATGTGCCCATTTTCAATTTTTCTTTTTTACTGAGTGCTCAATTGGTAGAATAATAGATATTCCAATTCTGGAACAATAAAGATTCCAGGAGAGGCAAGATGGCAAAGTAGATAAAAAGCTGGCCTCTGAGTCAGGAAGAGCTGAGTTCAAGTCCTAGCTCTCCTGCATACTGATTATGTGACTCTGGACAAGTCACTCAACTTCTCATAGTCCCCCGACAAGTCTGTGGGGCTTTAAGTTGTGTAGCAGGTGGGATTGTTCTGTCTTGGTCAAGGGCAATTCTCTACTGGGAGCTCCTTATACAAATCAATTCATAGGTTTCATCAAAAAAAAACAGAAAAAAAATCCACTAATTCACTTGGCAATGGGCATAGCAGGCTTATATCTTTTTAAATAATTATTAATAATGGCTTTTGTTATTAAGAGTTCTGAGGTTGGCTCTTCTAGTTCATCTTTGGAAGGTAAAAGGAAGCTTGCTATTCATGGAGAAAAATGTATTAACATGTTACACACTTCACAATTTTGCAGTTATCGATAATGATGGTAATGATGGTCCTAGCCAGCAGGGCCTTCTAGAGTAGCACTAAATATAAGCAGAATGCTTAGAAAAGGCTTTTTCACTTGTACTAAGGTGTAATTGTGAAGCTGCAAGGGATTTATCGGAGGTCTAAAGGACTTTGCAATAAGAGCTGAGAAACTAGGGTATTAGTCCTGGCTTTTCAACTAGCTGTCACTTAATATCCCTGGGCCTTAGTCTCTTCATCTGCAACCTGAAGAGATTACACCAGGCAACATCTAAGATCCAATCCTAACATTCTGTGATTCTACATAGATTTGGGGGAGGGGTGGGGTTAACTGGGAACCTGGCCACCACTGATAATATTATGGAAAAATGTGTCCCCTACTCCTGAAGTGTTTTACAAATGAACTTTTGTAATACAGCTCTTTTGTTAATTGAGGACTCATTGCATGTGTGAATTAATTACAGACACCCGAAAGTGGAAATGAACAGAGAAGTCAGGAATTGGCTCATATGGAAGAGGCCCGAATGGTGATACTAAATAACCTTGAAGAACTTGAAAAAAAGATTAAAGACCTCAATGATCAGATGGATGAATCTTCCAGAGAGGTAGGAAGCAGATGAAATCATTTCTCTCCCTCTATTTACCTTCTTCTCTCTTTACTTTCTTTTCCTTTTTTTGGGGGGTGGTGGTGGTAGTTAAAAGCTTTCTGTTGATTATTATGGTCAAATTATGATGGCTGAATGAAGACACCAGCACAAACCATCATTAATACACATTTATTGAGCCTCTACTATGTACAGAACAAGAATGCAAATATCTCTTAGTGAATCAAACTGAGGCAAAGATGCCAAGCTTTTATTTTTTAAATAAGTTTTATCCATTAACTTGCTTTTGTATAGGATATGATTTACCCTACAGAGTCCATTAGCTCATTTTCATTTTGTTTTTGATTAATAAGTGATACCTATAATATCTAAGGGAGTAAGGAAGGTGCTTACTTGTCTTTTACTCATACCATCTTTGTTGGCAAACCCTAGAAGCTTTCCTACATTTGCCATTGCTTGGAATCCCATGCTTTCTCTCCAGGCTGTGTGCAATTTTCACTTTGACTTTAGTGAAGAGAGCCAAGATGTATGCATCTGTTCCCAAATTAGCTGGTGCTTAGCCTAGATACAAGAAATTGATATAATATCCTATGAGTGTCCTCTATAGTCGCTGTTCCCAAGTGTGGTCATTGGACCCGTGGGTATCCCTAAGACCCTTTCAGGGGATCCACAAGGTCAAAACTATTTTCATAATAATTGTAAGATGTTATTTTTACTATTAAAATATTCTTCTTTTTTACAATTACATAACTGTGTAAAGCTAAATTTTCCTGATAGACTTCAGTCAAAACAACCTATCACAAAGGATTGAATGCAAAAGCAGATATGAGAATCCAGCTGTCTTCTGTTAAACCAGATATTAAAGAGATTTACAAAAATATGTCAAACAAATCACTTCTCACTAATTTGTTTTTTATTTTGGAAAACAAAGTTATTTTTTGTTTAAAAAATGTTTATGTTAATGGGTAATAGATTTATTATTGTTATTTTAAATGAATTAATAAGTATTCTAAAATTTTGCCATTTTGATTTCTAATACAGTAAATATTGATAGATATAACTCACGTAAACAAAAGCTCTTTGGGGTCCTCCATAATTTTAAAGAGTGTCATAGGGTCCTGAAATAAAAAGACTCACTGTTCCAAAGAGTAGGCAGAAGAAGTATAAAATAAGATTAAAGGAAGAGGAAAAATAGCTTTCTTAATGAAACTATGTTCAGGTCTCAAGACTTCCACATAGCTGACCACATAGATGAGACAGTAAGCTGCTTCAATCAAAATTTTCTTATTGGTTTGGTGTTGTAAATGCCCCTACAATGGTCAGATAAAAACACATTGACCCTGGAGTTGAGGTCCTGGGTTCATATCCTATGTTTACCACTGATACGTCCTTGGGCAAGTGATCACTTTCCTGGATCTCAGTTTTCTTATCCTGTAAAATAAGGGGGTTGAACTAGATACCTTTGAGGTTCTTGCCAACTTTAGGTCTATGATCTTTGAAAGAGCAACTCTGAAAAATGTTTTGTGTTCTCAGGGAGATATGGAATGTGCCCTTCTGGATGGTGAACAGAAAGCAGAATCAGCTGAACTTATGAAAGAAAAGGAGATATTGGACCATCTAAATAGGAAGATAGCAGAGCTTGAAAAGAACATTGTTGGGGAAAAGACCAAGGTAAAAACACAGAAAACCAAAGGCACTTTAAATGATTCTAATACTGATCGACTGCATTTTTTTTTCTTATGGATATATCTCTATGTATTTTATTAAACTTGACATTTTGAATAGTTTCCCATTCACTAAAATGTTAACAATGGATGCATTACCTCTTGACTTCCATTATTTTGGTATCATTGGCCACATCCTTAGAAAGGCAGTACTGTAGACCAAAGGGATAATATGGGATGGTTTGGTTCAAATGACGAGGTGATGGTGCAACTAGGAGGAGTAATCCATCTATCCAAGGGCAAAGGCACAGGTGGCTTCCTAGCTGATTCTCATAAGAGTCTGTTGGTCCTTTAGAATTATTAACTTTTTCTATTTCTTTGGAATCCAAATAGTAGACGTGTTGTTTGGTGTAATTCCCTGTTGCTGGTATTTCACTTTTAGGATTTGAACTTACACAACTGTGGGTCTCATTTTTCAGTTTGTTTTTTTTAAGATGGGTGTTTGTTTTAGTACAGTGGCATTAACTGCAGGTGTGTTGATCTTGGCAAACATGCCTAAGTCGTTCCTGGGCACCCTCCCCCAATATTAAGGGGAGAATGTGAAAATCCAACGAGTGGCATGGCAATAGGTGAGAGGTACCCTTGAAGCACTGGTTGGAGATTTTACTGAAAAATGTTGCTCATAAGCAGTGTAGGTCCCAAACTGGAGGGAGCACAACACAGCCACCACCTTGTAATGATTCAGGGGTTGCAGATTATCCAGGTCCTTTATTTGTCCTACTTTGTCCTGTTCACCTTTAGAGCCATTAGAAGAGAAAAATGAGGCAAAGAAAGGAAGAAGGCTTCTTTCTCTTTTACACATTCACTTTCCCCCTTTCTACTGCCCCCACATAATCAAACTGTATACGTACTAATATTTGATTGGAGGAGAGAAAATAAAGGAATGTCTAATATGTGGGTGTATGTGCATGCACATGCAGATGGGTGGATGTTTATGTAGCTATCTCCACCTGCTAAGACATCTTAGTGACATATTAAACTCAATTTCCACAAACCAAATTTATCACTACCATAAGACCCAGTCGTGTTCCTATTTTTAAAAAATTATAAAATACATATGTTCACATAAAATATATAACTATATTGTATTACAAATAATTATCAAATACTACATTTTATAATTATCTATTTTATAATATATTTAATATATATTGTATATAATATATACAATTTGAATTTTATACTTATATATTTTAATCACAATTATTTTTAATTATAATTATTTAAAATGTATAATTACATAAGATAAAAATATTCTATTAAAACTTATCTAGAACATTTTAATTTCATTCTATAGCATTACTATCCTTTGAGTTACCCAGGCTTGAAACTATGACTCCTCCCTTTCCTTAATCTCTCACATCCAACCAGTTGTCAAGGTTATCTCTTCTGTCTCCACAAGTCCTCTCATATTTGTCCCCTTCTCTCCACTCACACTGCCACCACTCTAAATTAGACCTTCATCACCTCCTGCCCACTAAGTAGTCTCTTCCCTCTCTAATCCAACCTTCACATAGCTGCCAAAATAATCTCCCTAATGAAGAGATATGGCTATCACTTTCCTGCTTGAAAAACTTCCATTGACTCCCTTTTGCCATGAAGATAATTTAAACTTCCCACAAGTTGGCTCCAGTCTACCTTATTTCACATTGTTACCTGTCATATACTCTTCTATTCCAGTAAAACTGGACCTCTCTCAGTTGGCCAATCTTGTTTATCCCTCTCCCACCTATATTTATTTACTCAGACAACCCCTCTATTCCTCCTTTCTCTGTCTCTGCTGAAATCTTTCTCTTTTCAAGGTTCAACTCAATGGATATTATCACCTGTATCCCCTTGGACAGGTCTCTTAACTTCTCTGGACTTCAAGGTTCTTATCTGAAAAAATAAGCAGTTGGACCAAATGATCTCAGAGATCCCTTCCACTCTAAATCTATGTTCCTTTGGCCTCTTCCATGAAGTCCCCCAGCTGACCCCTGCACCACTCACCCCTCTCCACATGCCAGGTAAATGTGCCCTCTGCTTCAGTTTTCTCAAAGAATTTGAGCACTTCTTCTCCTTTATACTTACCTCACTCTTCTCCCCTTGTGTCACACTTATTTGATTACCTGTTTGCCCTCATTAGATTCTCTACATTGTAAGGGTCCTGCATCCTTGTATCCCCATTCCCCTAGCACAATACTTTGCTTAGAGAAGGCATTTTATAAATTATTATTATCAAATTACATAATGTCATTTAATAAAATTTCTAAGCCTTAAAGCCCTAAATAAATGCCACTTATTTTAGAGAGGCCATATTTTTGAGTATAGGAGTTGGAGTCAGGAGAGATTTGGTTTCAATTCCAGTTCTGCTACTTACCTAGTGACTATTGGCCAGTCATCTAACCTCTCTGGGACTCAGTTTCCTTATTTGTAAAATGGGAATAATGATGCTTGTACTACTTCACCAGATCAAATGTTAAAAAAAAAAGGATTTAAAATCCTTTGCAAAGCTGTGTAAATGTCATTTCTTGTTATTGAATCAAATATGGACTGGGCAGGTATGTATGTACATATGTGTATATGTATAAATATTTACAAACAAGCTTGTGCATATATAGCTGTATAGTACATGCATCTATATTCATATATCACATATAGTATACAATAAGCAAATATGTTATAACATCTATGCACTATGTATAAAATTGTATAGTATTGGAGCTCTGGAAGAGATATTAGAGATTACATATTCATCTTAAAAATAGGGCAGCTAAAGCATGAAAAAGTTGAATGATTTGCCCAAGTTAATTGTTGTGAGGATTAAATAAGATAGTGCATGTTTTGTAAATCATGTTGGTGAGCCATTTTTTGTCGTGTCGAATTCTTTGTGACCCCATTTGGGGTTTTCTTGGCAAAGAGAGCTGTTTGCCATTTCCTTCTCCAGCTCATTTTACAGATGAGGAAACTGAAGCAAACAGGGTTAAGTGACTTGCTCAAGATCTCACAGTAAGTGCCTGAGGCCAGATTTGAACTCAGGAAGATGAGTCTTCCTGACTCCAGGCCTGGTGTTCTATCTACTGCATTACCAAAAAAATCATACAATGTTATGTAAATGAAAGACATTAAGCCCCTTAGCCCATTAATGGCAGACCCAACTCCCACCATCCCCTGTGAATGCCTTTCTTTATATTCTAAAGCCTCTTCCAATTCTTTATAATCCTATATGTATGCAAGTTATTACATACGAATGCTGTGTGATATGTATTCTATGTATATATATATAAGAAACATACATAAAAAGTCTATATAGCCATAAAGATATATAGATACAAACATACATACACACCAACTTTCATCCTTCTTTTCACTCTCCTCTGCTGGTCAAAAACTGGCAAAGGCATTCATAGAACTTTGTAAATGCAAGGATATATTTATGATTTACAAAAGTATCCTAATTCAATCTTAGAAATCCTGTGCTAATTAGTCACAGATGCAACTTAGTTAAATAGCATGATGAAATGTCTGACATGGTAAGCATCATCATCTATATGTAATAGGATGTTCCAATTCTCTGATGCCATGGTTCCTTATTTTTTTTTCTTCATAGTTGCTGGAAGTATTTCATAGGTTTGTTCTTCATTTTTTGGAATTCTTGGTTATTTTTCCTTTGAGTTGCTTGCCTCAATTAGCCTCCCTTTTCCTTCCTTCTTGTGTATTGTTATTTGAAAGGTAATTTTGAGCAAGAGATGGAGACTCATGAAAGGAACAAAAGAGAGGCTTAGATTTAGAACTACTAAGACTAGAGGACTCCTCTGCCTTTAGAGAATCCAGTTGCCGAGTCCTAGAAACCCAGAACTTGAAACCCCGCAATATTATGATATGTGACTTTTTTCTGTTTACCTGTCTTGTGACTTTGCCAGACTTTCCTGGGGCTAAGTCCCTTTGAGTCTCTTCCAAGAAAAATGCATCTCTCCAGCCACAGATGCTAAGAGATTTGTCACATTCCTCCAGATACAATCCCTGAAAGGCTTATCTACTAACAAATAATTTCTTTCAGGAAATGGAGCAAATTAAGCCAATGACAAAGCTTATTTCCCAAAGAAAATCTATTGTAATGACTCCCTCCCCTTCTGGTCTCTACATCCCTAGTTCAGATATTGTAAGAGCTCTGTGGGAGTTTGAAGAACATAGGTTCATAGGTTTGAACTTAGTTCAAATCTAGCCTTCTGCAAGATTTCTTTCCTTAGTCCCTCTAGCCACTAGTGAATTACTCATACACCTTGTGTATTTGCAAATTTACATGTGGTCTCTCCCATTAGGGTGTAAGCTCCTTGAGAGCAGGGTCTGGGTTTTTGGTGGTGGTTGGGTTTTTGGTTTTGGTTTTGCTTGATGGTTTTTGGTTTTGCTTTGCCTTTCTTTGTATCTCTAGCACTTAATTTGGTGCCTGGCACATAATAAGCACTTAATAAATGCTTCTTGACTCACTAAATAGGAACAGATATGTGGGTTGTTTGAAATTTTGCAGAGTTGCATTGTTGGTTTCATCAATCCCTTTAGGCTAGAAGCCAAGGTTTTTCTAGAAACTTAGGAGGTACAGGATTAGCATTTACAACTGTTGGGATACTGAGGCATGCTTGAGAATGAGATATCCAACTTCCCTGCCAATCACTCAATCAGCAAACAAACTTAATAATTACCTACTATGTGCCAAGCATTGTGTTGTGGAGAAAAAAGAAAAGGAAAACTATAGGGCTTTCCTTAATCTTATGCTAAGAAAATTGACTGTGATGTAAAGAGGGTAGAGAAAGTAGCAATCTGCTGAAAATGCAGTACTTGTTGGCTAAGACTAAATTAAATGCAGCTATTATTAGTCCGGACCAGCTGGGTGGCACAGTGGATAGACTGACAGGCCTGAAGTCAGGAAGATTCATTTTCCTGAGTTCAAATCCAACCTCAGCTGTATGA